TCATTCTACTAGATTCTTGTATTGTATATACTTCATATTATGCTAGTTAGGATGAAACCTTGGAATATTGAATATTTGCATGTATAATAGAGAAAACATAGATCCAAGGTTTATAGGGTTGCATGTACACCACAAGAGTGTTAGAGTGCTCAATACCCAACAGTGGTATCAAAGCCAAGGCTTGTTTTCAATTATACTTGATGCAAATGGCTGGAAATCGAAGTTTTTTGCTGTCTGGACAGGGGACTCGACGAGTCCATTGAGGGACTCGACGAGTCCATGTACAAACTCATCCAACTCGTCAAGTTTGTTCTTGCACTCGGCGAGTTGGAGCCCCTGACAACATATATTCAAGTTTTTTGGCTGGAATTGGACTAGGAACATTACCCTAAGCTGTTTTTGAACATATAAACTGTTTTTGATGTGGTAATGTTCATGCTAATCCAATTTCAAAGATAGTTGTCATAATTTCAAGATTTTTATTAGTTTATATGTTCATGTTAATTTCTTGAATATTAATGATTTGAATTATCTTGTTCTTATGAGTTAGTTTAGATTAATAGAAAATTTATGTGATAATTTGTTTTCGATGCAAATTGATCTAAAAGTTGTTCATAATATGTGTTTTTGTAACTTATCCTCAAGTTATATGAAAAGTCTCATTTATGATTTTTTAAAACTTATAAGATTTCCATAAGTTATGAAAATGAAGAGTCTCATTTTTTTAATGTTTTAAAGTCTTCCATAACTTGTCCTCAAGTTATGGAACTTGTAGAGTTTTTCATTAAAACTACTTTAAAGTCATAAGTTATGGAAACCAAAAGTTTTTGAATTGTTCAAAACTTTCCCTCAAGTTTTGGAATTTGTAAAGTTTCCCTCCGATGAATACTTTAATTCCATGTTAAACCCTTAGAGTTTTAACAATTTAAAATTCAACCCTTATACTATTATAATATTATAGGTTTAATATTTATATATATGTGTAAGAGTAAGTCAGTCTTACCATTAGTAGGCCTCATTCACGAAGCCGATCTATAAGGGAGGTATAAGGTTACTGCCTATAAAATGGCAGTTTAATGGTTGTCCACTCTCACCCACCGCTTGCTTGACTGGTGGAGGGTCGTTAGCCGAACGGGTAGAACAAGAACTATAATTTTCATTAAAAGTATAATGATAAATATAAAGTAACTAAACCTTATTAAATTCCCAATCATAGTTACTTTAGGAAAATGTGAATTTGGTGCTAATCCATGAAATTACACTTTGTACTTTACCAAGTCGTTGGTGGAGCGTGTGTGGGTAACCAGCACATTAACATGGACTAGTAAAAGTCGCAAAGGGTGACTTAATGTTTATCATACATCGGTGGAGCACGTGTGGGTAACCGACACATCGATTAGGTGATAAAATTAAGGGTACCAAGTTAATTTGCATGGTTATTCACACCTTGTTTGTGATCCTCTGTATCCCAGTCACAAACTTGAGAGGGCACAATCGAGATTTAAACATACCATTGAAAAGTTCAATTAATCTCAAAAGATCTAGGAGTTTCAAGCTAATAAAAACCTAATACTTATTTCATTTTTCATGGTGAAAATTGGTAAATCGTCATTCGCCTACCTTCAAATATTGTATAGCTTGGATTACGGCATCCCTATACCAAGTTATAAAATATTGTGTTGGGTCCTAGCCTCAATATTTCATATTGGGTGTTATATTAAGGACCTAAATCAACTAACTTGAATTTCTCCCATTGTAGATGTCTGGTTCAGACAACTATGATCTTCCCAAATCTCTTGGAACAAGCTTTCCCAAATGAAGATGAAGTCATGCAATTGGATCATGGAAATCATACTTCTCTTCCTCCAGCTCTTCCAATTATTCTCCCTAACCCACAAGTTCTTGAAAAAGTTCAAGGTCACTCAATCCCTATTGGCAAGCAAAGTCTATATGTGCTTACATCTTGGAGATGAAGTTACATATTAACATGCTGGGAGAGTTGGGTGTCGAAGTCTCGAAGAAGTTGGTTGTTGACTGGGTTCTTTAGTCACTTCCTGATGACAGATCATGGCATGACCATTAATGATCTTACATATTTGCTTGTTGCTGCTGAATCATCAATGATTTGGAGCACTGGTAAAGCAAATTTGATTAGAAGATCTACTTCCCAAACTTCTATGGACATTGACAATGGTGACATTGGAAATCCAGAAAAGCTTTCTCTTCCCAATGGAAAGGGATCGACCATAGTCAACTCGGTTGACCAAATGGTAAAGAGAAAGGTTAAGTCTGAGATAGTCCCGTGTAGCATTCTCAAAGAGTCCATATGTTTCTATTGCCAAAAACAAGGGACATTGGTTGCGAAGCTGCCCATTTACCTGAAGAATCATAAGGATTGTAAAGTCAGAATGTATTACTCTACTTCAGGTAAGTCCACTATCTAACTCTATTAAGTTCATATTGGAGATTCTTATTACATGATGTGACTAGGTCACATTTTGATGTTTTGTAGAATCGAAGAAAAGAAGCTTTAAGGAAGAGTAAGCTAATTCTGATCGTGAAGAGATGGATTTCAATCGCATGATCTGAAGATCAGAATCTTGAGCTGCTACTTAAGAGTTATGATATATTGCTTAGGAATAGATAACAACATAGTTTTCATATGGATTTGCATTACAAGGATAGGTTTTTCCGCAAGTTTTAAAATAAAAGAAAAGGTTTTAATTTTATTTATTTTTAAATATCCTTACAGTGGCATTTGTGAAAAATTGTTCTTTATATGATTCCATTGCTAGCAATATTGGAAAATGGATTTGATTCTTTCGTTTATGGTAGTGTTATAATTTACCAAATAAGGAAAGATTTTCATCACCCAAGTTTCAGTTAGATAGAAACTTGGAATCATGCAACTTGTATTGTCTGATGAATTTCATCTTTGGAAAATTAAGACTAATTCCTTGTTCATATGTATATGTGAGTGAAGTGAAGGACTAGGATATCAGGTACACTTGGTTGTGCGCTGGTCAGGTCCACCACAAAGAGCGATAAGGCTATTCGTCATGATTTACTAAAGTTTAGTAAATGTGGTTGTGCTTACAAGGTTGAGTATAATTCTGAAACATTGGAAAAGTTTCAATGTAAGTCAGAACGAATAAGAAGAATCAAATTAGGGAGAAAGATAAAAGTTTCTCCAATCTGAAAAGATGGGAGAGTACTTTAGTATCGTATTTTGTGATTATCTTAGTGATTATGAAACCGTATCACAATTGATCCTCTAAGGACATCATATTGCATTCATTTGACTAAGAAGAGGAATCGTGAATTGTTGAAATGGTTAAATCAAAAGATGAATCATACTTCGTTCCAAAATTGAGTCTTCGAGTAACACTCCAAGATCGAACCTTGAGTGACATAATGTTAAGAAGGTTTAAAACACTTGTAAAATGTAGAGTAAAATGTTTTCTACTCTTGTACATTTGAAATTGGTAAGTTGTGATGTTTTGGATAAAACAAAGACCAACTAAGGCCAATTGTGTGAAGTGTTTGTCTTGATAAAAATCCGCACTAACTCTTGATTATTTTCTTTGTCAAGGAATGGTTCTTGATAAGAGAATCTTATATGTCAAGAGGTCAGTGGGAGTCTTAAACATCTTGAAAAGTTTCAAGAACTAATCAAGAACAAAACCTGTTGTTTATCACTAGCACACGACTTGAGGTTTATAGCCCATCGTGTTGACATATTCTTGTTTCTGTGCACATTCTAGTTAAAGTTGACTATGCATGTGAGTTCTATGAGTTCTCAATTGTTTGCATAAGTACTTGGAAGCAATGGTAGGCCCTTGTGCTATCAGGTGGCAAGAAGTTAAGATTGAACAAGTTCAGTCCATATGAGTTTGGATTTGTCACTAACTTCCTCTTGTGGTTATGACAAATTCATATGGATAGGAACACATACACCATAAAAATCTAAGTGTCATAAGGTTTCTCTCCGATTCATGAAAATGATGGTGAGGAAACGCTTTCGCTAAATAGATTTTAAGTAGACAACAATTGTGATATTTTCATTCTCAAATTCGTTAGTGGAGCGTGAATGGGTAACCAGCATACTAACATGGACTTGTGAGAAATGGTAAATGTCTAAACAATTAAGACTATGATTACGACATCCCTTTTCATAGTGCTAAAAAGTGTTTAAACACACATGTGAGCTATCTAAGGAAAGGTGTATGATATTGATAAAGTCTTATCAAAGCATCTTGTATCAGAAATCTGAACTTTGGTAAGAAATTCAATAAAGTGTTGATCTCTACAAGTCCAGCTGATTTCTGGATACATGTCAAAGCTAATGGGAGCATAAGTGTTATGCTAATAATTATCATGTTAGTGGGAGCATGATTATTATGTTTAGTATTGCAAGTTAGCAATGTTAATTATAGAAAACAAAAAGTTTCAATTCGTGAAGTTGCAGGGGTTGAAAAGTTATTTTGCTATAATTAAGGGAGAGGAAATTATATTTCATTTCAATTCTAAAATCTTAGATTGAGATTTTAATCATCTTTAGTCAAAGATATATATATATATATATATATATATATATATATATATATATATATATATATATATATATATATATATATATATATATCATGGTTGTAAATATCGGCGTAGGCGGCCGATTAATCGGCGCCTAGGCGTTGGCGGCCTCTCACCGCTTACGAATAAGGGTTAGAGGATAAAATAATCAGCCTTAGTTAATATCGGTCAAAATCGGTCCAAATCGGACTAAATCGGTCCAACTCAGACTCCTAATTGGGCCAAATCGGACCAGCTAACCATGGGCTCAAAAGAACCAGTTATCCCACCGAGCATTTGGGTTTGATTTTGTAAAGGAACCTAAGTCTCCTTTTATAAGATATGCCTGCGTTCATTTTTTGTCCCACCAGCGATGTGGGATGCCAAACTTGTAACCTTAATTTTTTTGACAACTCCATCGATGTGGGATGCCGACCGTGAAGCATGGGAATCCGATTGCTTTCATACGAATTGAAATCGTTCGAAACATGAAATCGTCGACTGCTAACTTCTCCAAGCTGTGGACTCATCTTCTCCAACGACGCAACAATTTCGATTCACCTTCAATTCAAAGTCTGAGATTGGGACATCTGAGGTAAATTAAAAAACTCACGGGAACTCCGATTCATCTTCAATTCCACGAGAACTCCGATTCACATTCAATTCAAACTCATTCCATCTGTGATTCCGTTTTCTTCTAGATCGAAGGCGGAAATTGGAACTCCAATTCACCGTCTGAGGTCTGTGTCTCGATTATCAAGTCACTTATCAATTCGTTCTTCGTCTGAGGTGTGAGGTATGTGTCTCGATTGTCACAACCCCTTGAATCTGTGATGCAGGTTAGTTCTTCAATCCATGATGCAAATGGTAATGGAACCCGTGTTCATGGATATATCAGATATTCTAACGGGGTAGTGTAAATGAATTGATGTTTGTATTGTAATTAAATCCATCACAACAGGTGCACACCAACTGTTTGATATTTTGGAAGGAACATGCAATGACTTGTTTAATTATCCACTTCTGCTTGTTTAATTTTGCGATTTGAGTCATCCTATGTAACAAACCGTTATTTCAAACCTATGTAATAATGTAGGTCAATTTGTAGTTCTTTTTAAATAATAAAGAGAAATTTTAACATACTGTGTATATTTACATAATTGACCCTTAAAAATAAAGTATTAAACAATCTCGATTGGGATGAACCAAGTGGTAGAGATTGTAAAACGGTTTCCAAAAATATAAAGAACACTAAAATCCGAGTTATAACGAAGAAGTTATGACCAATCGAAGATCCGCGACAAAACCGGCAAAACACTGTTCAGTGTAAAAACTGAATTTTCAATAAAAGGCCTTTCAGCCACAACAATCTAAATGAAAGTTGTAGATTACGTTAAACCGAGAACTTTCATAAAAAGAACATCAAAATCTGACTTCGTATGAGGAAGTTATGATTTTTCTAAGTTTCAGTATAACAGTATACAGCTAAAAACTTGAAATAAAGATTGAGTGGCTTTTAGCCGACACAACTAAAACGAGAATTGAAGGTCTCGTCAATAGCAGTACAACGGTAAAAAGACAGACAAAAACGGACGTCTGATGAAGAAGTTATGAATTTTTAACGGATTTCCTGTCCCGGTCTATTAAAAATAATAATATTAAAAATAAATTCAAAATTAGCCGACAAAGTCTAAACAAAAGTCGTAGAGTATAATTTTACCTACGTGTGCATATAAAGAACATCGAAAACGGAGCTCGTATGCGAAAGTTATGAATTTCGCAAGTTTTGTGCACAAAAATCGAGAAATGTTGAAAACCAGGAAAATTGGCATGGTGTACCTTCGGCCACGTCACCCTCGCATGCGAGGCTTCTCCGTGTCTACCTCCTGGCACCTTCTGATTGGACCGAAGTTGTTCGTGGCACCTTCTGATTGGACCGAAGCCGAGGTCCAGTGGCCAGTCGACACCCCTCGCAGGAACACGCCACCGAGCTCGGACACGCGCCTCCTCCTGATTGGACCGAAGTTCGGTCCACTCCTGATTCGACACCACCGAGCCAGTTCTCCGAAGCGAGCCTTATTCCTTCGCCACCTGTCCGAACACACGGCAACTTCTCCCAGCTTCGGATCCGAGGCTTCGGCCTATATAAGGCCTGCGAGACCCTCCGGATATTTCACCTTTTTCACCCCATTTTCCACAGTTTTTCACTTCTTTCACCACTTTAAAATATCCTACAACCCCTAAAGCCCCGGTATCATATCTCGAACCCTAAGCAAGCCTCGAAGCCCCGATATTCCTGTGAAAAACAACTTTCTCCAGTCGAAACTGTGCTCGATTTAAGCCAGTTTTTCGTCAAATAAACTCCTTTCCACGAAGCGAAACGTTGTGCAAATCACCACCTATCAAGTGAGTTCATACCCCCGTATTTTCATAATTTCTACTGTTTTAAGGGGGGGGGGATACAAGTATAACACAAGAAGTTTGTGTTATAAAATCATGATTTCAAATCATGATAAAACGACATCAAATCATCAAAAATACTCAAAACATTAAACTCTTTTATAAACTTATATTTTTCCCCAAAATTCATATTTGTATATATATACATATATATATATATATATATATATATATATATATATATATATATATATAAATAAGATTTAAAAGACTTAGGACTGATAACTCATTTTGGGTCCTTTTCCTTGTTTGGATGTGGGCTTATAGTACCGGTTATTTGTCCGAGTGTCGTTTAAATTTCACTTATATATAGAATTGTGTATGTATATAAATATAAAAGTTATTTCATCAGTTCAAATACCTTTGTAACATGTTGAGCAAGGGGTTACATGCAAAAATAGTTAAATACCGATGCAGAAAGTACATATAAATTATAATTGGTATAATTTATGATACATAGAACAATAATTCATAATTCAAGTATACGAGAATACACTGTTTTATAAGAAACAAGGGTTTTGATTCAAAACAAATCAAGGGTTTACAATTGTCAAATACAAGTTCGGAATACCAATTCAAGAACATACTGTCAATCATTTATTTCATAATGATTGGGTTTTCATGACTAATATACATGTAACGTTTATATGCTTTTTATGAGTCATTCAATTCAGGTTGTTTAATTCATTTAGACAACCAAGGTAAAGTCCTGACATTATAACCAGAATCTCGAGCCAGGGGATCGAAACAAGTTGTGCGTAGATCTATATTGGGATTGACAACCCCACACTCAGGCTGCTAGCTACAGTCAGGCATACACGCCAATGAGTGGTAATTGTTATCAACAGTTTAAACGCCCACAAAGTGTTTGTTTCAGGCCATCATGTCTTAGTATCGTTATAATAACTCATTAAAAAGATATTAACAATACGCTAGTGTATAATCAACTAAATGTAAGTACACCTTCAAAGTACCAGTTTACAGAATACAGCTACAATAGTACAATACAGTTTTCAATAACAGCTGGTGAAACCAGGCACACTCTCAGTTACAAGTTTTACAAATACAGAACATTGGTTTACAAATGGAACGGTTTTATGGGAATAAAACTACTTTTCATATACAACAGAAAATATAGGATTTTCTAGAACAGTTTACATATGCAAGATACAGAGACACCCTTTCAAACATAAATACTTATGCACTCACTCAACTCTATGTTGATACTCCCTTTTCAAATTACTAGTATTCTCAGGGAAACAATAAACAGGTACTCCCCAAGCTTTTTGAGAAGATGGAGCTACTTTGAGTTATATCTTCTTCTTTTGTATAACTATTTGGGTTCAATATATAATGATTGAACATATGTAAATACTTATACTTTTTAAATACAATGGTTGTTTGTACTTTGATTACTATGATGCATGTGTTGTGCTACTACAAATGAAGTCCTCCACCCCCAGACGTTTCCGCCGTCTGGTTTGGGGGTGTGACATCCTCCAACTATATTGATTTGAGATATGACCAACATGTGTTTGGGAGTGATAGTAGTGTTGAGACATGTCTAAAACGTACCCTACGTATTCAGAAGAACTATAGAACATAACACAAAGATTAAAATACTACGGAGAGTATTTTACTAACCTTATTTCTAATACAGAACCTATGGCTGAACACAATTTACCTGGGGACCCCTACAATCCGCAAAATGCAGGCTGGATCTCAGACTCAGATGAAGAACCCTTTGAAGACATCGAATCAAGTTTTATGGATACAGAGCCACAAGTCTGCAACCCTGGGGAACGTCCCCTGAGACAAGATGAAGCATAACCCATACCCGAGTAGGGCCAATATATAAACCATTGGAGTCGGCAAGACGACCAACGCCCTCCTTACGGAATGGCAAGAGGTTTCTATAACGTCTTTAGAGGAGGAAAAGCCAATAGAGCTCTTCCAGTTATAGTAAACCGAATAGCCCGGCAAGCCGATCAATCAAGGATTTCAAATCAATCGAATGCTAGAAGTAAATACGGTTGCACAGGTTAACACTGCAGATATCCTTCGTCTTGATGAAATGCAGGATGACACCCAACATCATACAGAAGCCCTTCAAAGGCAACTCAATGCTGCTCAATCTGAGATAAGGGAATTGAGAGAGCATCAAGTTGCACAAGAAAGGCGCTGGAAAAAACAGGATGAAGCAGGACCCAACAACCGTCGTAACAACCGTCGCAAGTAGTGTTTATACTAATTCTACTAGCTTAATATATCGAATGTATATACCACTTTTCATGATATGTACAAAACTGAGTATCAATAAAATAATAAGCACTTTACTGCAACAAGAGTTATTACAATTTTCATAAACATCCTATTCCAAAGTTTTGGATTCCAGATATGTTCCAGTGTCATTTTTCATGTTTTTCAATACGACTGCAAAAATTTTATTTTCGGTAGGTCGGGTTGATGTCGACACTTCCTCAGTATTGTGGTATATTGTAGACCTGCCTTGAGGACAAGTTTTCCAGATTACATATACTTAATATACCAATACAGTCGACATGTATTTTCGTACTCTTTGAAAAATAACCACTCAAATTCATATCATTCTGTTGCAAGTTGTACTTGCAGTGGATTTCTATTTCCAATTCTTTACAAGATTCATGTTGAATTAAGTGTTTAGTTCAGAGATATCAAATTCATATTCATTCTTGATATCTCACTATCTTTTTATCTATTGACTTTTATAGAAAAAGATGCCTCCTCTTAGAAATCCAAGACATATCAATGCCAATGAAGCACCGACGCCACCCCCACCACCACCTCCTCAATTCGACGCTGCTATGTTTCAAGCAGCGGTCACGACGGCTATAGCGGCTGTCATGTCTCATATCAATACTCCTGGTGCTAGTCGGTCGGGAGCTGGTGCACATCCTTCTAACCATGGCGAGAGTCATGAGCACTCGCGAGAGTGCACTTATAAAGACTTATCGAATGCCAAACCCAGGACCTTTAATGCAACTGGAGGTACGATGATTTTAAGGCAATGGATTGAGAAGACAGAAGCAATCTTTCAAATTTGCTCCTGTCCGGAGGGTAGCAAAGTTAAATTTGCTGCCTGTACTTTTTCAGATAGGGCCTTAACATGGTGGAATGGCCATGTTAAGTCACTGATCTTGATAGTGGCTAATACGATGAGATGGGAGAACTTAAAAGCCATGCTAATGCGGGAATACTGTCCGTGCGGAGAAATTCAAAAACTTGAGCAGGAGTTCTGGGGTCTTACCATGGCCGGTGCAGACATAACAACTTACACGAATCGGTTCTGTAACTTGGCGATTCTATTTCCTGAAATGGTTGCTCTGTAGAGCAAAAAGATTGAAAGGTATATTTGGGGACTGTCGCCCCAGATACATGCAAGTGTCATTGCTTCTAGGCCTGTCACCTTTGACAGT